ACATGAGGAATTTGAGTTGCGGAAACCAGATCGGAGAGCAATATAGCAACTTGGGAATGACGATGGCCTGGTAAAGACGAATGTAGAAATCAGCTTTCTTCACGATGAAGCAACGGAAGAGAGCGTGAACGAGGACTGAGCATGATTTCACAACCATAAGAACATGGGCCCGGAAGTCCAACTTTGGAGACATAAGTACTCCGAGATCTCGAGTGACATCGGCGGTTGGGAGCTTTAGTCCATTAAGGTGATATTCGTGACTGCTTTGCCCGTGCTTCAGGACGACAGTTTTCTCGGGTGAGAGTTGCATGGAATTATCACGGCACCACGATATTGCGGCGGATATTCGGGATGAATCTGTTCCAGCCTCTGGTCGACTCAGTCAGCCGTGATCGTACATTGTTTATCCGTCGTGGCATAAATGACCCAGGTTCGCACCTTGTTGGGTGAATTTTCCGAAACAAGTCAGGTCTCCTCCGTATTTCTCCGGCTGCTGTCACATCCGTCGACACTGTTTCCCGTTGCCGGTAGTGTGTGATTTTAAGAAGTTAGTCGCCGTCTTGAGCCGTCACGTGTTACGATTGTCCGTCATCAAGCCGACCGTGTGCTCTGCTTCTGAGACGGCCGAAGCTCAATCGGTAGACCCGGATTGATATCTCGATGGGCTTCCGCTTCCGTCGCTCATTCTGGTTCTACGGCATTCATCATTTTCGGCTTCGGACTCTGGAAAGACTATGACCTCAGAGGAATACGATCTGCATGGGGATAGGGCTCAGGTATCCATCCAGGGAGTTTCCATGAAGCTAACAGCTATGTCTACGATGAGTTGCTCCGGTTTTCACCTCCTCTCATATTGAATCTCTACTCCATCCTCCGCTCTTGCCCATTTACAAGGCCGGGCGACTCAGGGCCTCAACAGGGGGGAATTAGCGAGAACGGCCAATTTTGATACACGCCCATACAATGATCATTGCGAAATGCAGCAGAATTCGTCTATTCCATTTCGAGAGATTTGGGCTCTCCTCAACGCGACGACGATGAGGGGCTCTGAGCGCTGGATGTCATCATGCTTGAATCTGATTTTGCCGATCGAGTCGCGGAGCTCGTTAATTCGCTCGTCGGGTCTTCGTCGCCCTCAGAAGTCGAGATCGTGGGAGACGATGAACTGCGATCAGGCTCGCGCTCGGTTTCCGAGTGCAGTTTCAAGATCTTGGCCAGCTTCCGACTTCGCCTCTGGAGATCTTCCAGATCCTTGCGACGATTCGACAGGAATTGATTCCACTTTGCTTCCAGCCTGGCGATTTAATTGTATCAGCATCGGTCTACTCTCACGCGTACTGGGATTAAGCATTGAGCATCTGATTCGACGCTCGGTGTCGGTTCTAATTTCACACATCAGCACATTGTGGGACTTCACTCAGGCTTAGGCTCCCCGAGCCGAAAATTTCGCCATCAATATCGCCGAGGTCAAACGTGACCCAAGTACAGGAAATGGCTCCTCCAATCGTGTTCCGAGAATAATTACTCACGAGAGACTGCTTGAGTCGGAAACACTCATGATGATCACTCTTGGCGATCTTCGTGATCCGATCGAGCGGCCTAAGTCGAGGTCGGGCTATCCGCAACACGTTCCGTAGCAATATTTCCCATGGAGGTCCGTCGATCGATTTGGAGGTATGCACGTTGAAGGAAATTGTGGTACTCCAAAATAACGAAGTCTGGGTCTGGAGGTTTCGAAGTGTCATCCGACGGACGATGAGTATAGAACTCGCTCCTGGTCCGAAGCATATCCTATTGCCGAGGGACAGACATGATTTTTCTATTTCGTACTCGGGGCACGCGATCCGAAATCTACAGCCAGAGGGAAGAACCGATGCTCTGTCGCGTCGGAGTCGCCCCCGACGAATAATTTCGGAGATCGAGGGGGATTTCCTCCTGCATATGAATATGCATCATGCAAATGGTCCTCAAACCTGTCCTCAAATCAAGTCCGGAACGTGCAGGACAATCAGGGTTTGTGTGCACGAGGGGGCTCCCCTCTCCTGTTTTTTTCGTCTCGAGCGAGCCCGGCAACAATGTGTGTCGAATGATTATTGCGCGAAAACCATCGGTTCTCGCATGCAGGAAAACCCCGGCTCGGAGTTGGGACTCAAGGATTCACCGTTTATTCGCAAACCATCTTCGACTTCCATCTTGATTCAGATTGGTGTTGCCGTGTCCCTATCCCTATCCGAATCCCATGAATACATCTTCATCTGAGCCGAGCTCGTTACTGAGATGTTTCATGATCTTGAGTCTCCACATCTCCCTCATGACTCGACCCAGCTCAATGCTCCGCATTCTAGCACTCGCGAATCATCATTTGCTGGAGACCTGAGAGCGCCGCATCCCAGGTTGACAAAATCTTGTGAATGGACGGGTTGGTCGTTCTAGGATCTGAGGAGTGAGTTTCTCCGCTGGCCCCATCGGACACCGAATTTACAGCTCTTAAAACCACGGGAGACTCTTGACGCGCGTTGTGCGATTCTAATACGAGCTCGGTGCATTGTCCCATGTTTCTTGATGTCCTACATACAGTGCTTGAATGTCGCGTCTCTTGCCACCGGTGCGACCTCTTCGAATGGATTCTCGATCGCCTTGGACAAAAGGGACGAGCGGGGTCCGATGAAATCTTCGATGGAACGGGAGATCGGCATCCGAAAACTTCCGGAGATCTGTATGAGAACGGAGCTGCCTCCATCCGGCTCCCAGCAACCTTTCTCTTCGAGGAGCAACGGACGGAAAATCCTGGAAGAAACGGAAAACGGGGCCGGCGCGGCGCGTCATTCTCTCGATGTGCAGTAGGCGTGCGCGGGTTAGCGGACCTCTCAGGCTGTCCCTGTTCGCTTGTCCCTGTCCGCTCGTCCGCGGTCGACCAAGGCGCGACATGAGAAAAGTTTGATAGATTCAGTAGGCCCCATGGTTCGAGTCGAGAACATGAAGGATACAGCCGCCCCGCCGGGTTCGCCCGGAAAAACGTCATACAACGTTCCTTCTCTGCTTTGTGAGAGAGCTCTCACTCGTGTCAACAGCGCCATTTTCAAAAAGCCGTCTGCGTGGCCGACCGGCTGTCCAGCGCTCATGTGGTGTTCCTTCCAGCATCTTAGCAAATCGATACCGTCCCTAAGTTAATTCATCCTCGGTGAGAGGGCAAGATGAGCAAGAATCGGGACGTATTCACAATCATAGGTCTCGCGACCTGTGTAAAAATTCTCCTCGTGTGGACATAGTGAGTTGCCGACGCAGTCCTATTATCCGTATATCTCTTCATTTTTTCGAACAATTAATATAGATACTGAGGAATGACCCTCCTATGCTTCGAGATTTGAAAGAACGGTGTGCCCTCAACGATTATTTTCAGTCGCTCGACGGATTTCGAGGTCCACCGGAACTGGCTGGCGATCACGCATAGTTTACCTCTGAAGGAATGGTACCGCGAGGTAAGAGCGATCCTGCAGAGAAATCGAGGCATCATTTTGAGAAGGCTCGGAGCGCGCGATCGCACCCTGATTTGGAAAGGTGCACCCATTTTAGAACTTCTCAGAATCCAATCATGTTCCTCTTTCAATTTACAGAGAACCTCAAGATGGACTCTGGATTACCCGCCTCTGTTCGCGTGGTTCGAGTGGTTCCTCTCCCAGATAGCTGCCCGAGTCGATCCGAAGATGCTCAATGTGGAAAATTTGGAATATGCTTCAGAAGAAACGATTCTCTTCCAACGCTTCAGCGTCATGTGTTCTGACGCTGTCTTGTTCTACGCCGCCTATGTGTGAGAATCCGTCAACTCCGTAATATTCTATCGCGGAAACTATTCTAGACTCTAGACGAATGAGAGTATCACGAAGTATTTTCTACTTCTAACTCAGATGGCACGGGATCTGCTTCGAGCAAACTCAGCGTTTGCCACGCCTCTTCAAACCTCTGGTCCTCGTGGGACTGATCTTGAACCCAGGGCTCCTCATTGTCGATCATATCCACTTCCAATATAACGGAATTCTTATGGGAATTATGCTCCTTTCGATGGCGAGGATTTATCAAGGACACGTGCTGTGGGGCACTCTTTGGTTCAGCATTTTACTAAACATGAAGCACATCTACTTGTATATAGCACCCCCGTTCTTCATATACCTGCTCAGAACGTACGTGCTGTCCGAGAAAAACGTGAGGTTGCAGGCGATACGCCTCTCCCAGCTGGGTCTCATCGTCGCCGGCGTCTTCAGTATTTCCTTCGGCCCTTTCATATATCACGTGAGCACTGCCGAATGTATTTTCTTGGAGATGAGATAAGGTGTCTATATCATGGGGCTCGAGAGCATTCTTTCCGGATCTGGATCTAAGCTCACTGATTATATCGTATCCTCGTGTCCTCAAGGGTCAAATTCGTCAAGTCCTGTCGCGTCTCTTCCCCGTCAGGAGGGGTCTCCTGCATTCGTACTGGGCACCTAATATATGGGCTCTGTACGGCTTCTGTGACGAGATCTTGCGATGGTTCGCGCGGAAGTTGGGTTTCGGAGTCCCAGCCCAGACAATCACCAAGGGTCTCGTCCAAGAGGCGAAGTTCGCGGTTCTGCCTAATGTGCCAAGCTGGCTGACTATAGTCGCAGCCCTAGTGCTCATGACGGTAAGCTACAGCGTCATCTCCAGAGACGTGACACGAATACCCCGTGGGGAATCAATCGAATTTCAACCTAGCAATGATTTACGGGGCGTTCCGTATTTGAACTTTACAGCCCTCATTGTACAAACTGTTCCGAAAACCTTGTCGGGAGGCTTTCCTCCATTCGGTGGTGTATTGTGGATGTGTCTCTTTCCTGGTCGGTTTCCATGTTCACGAGAAAGCTATCCTCATCCCTCTGCTCGGTTTGCTCCCTCTGGCGGTTCGGCGGCCAGAGCTGTCGGGACTCTTCGTGGCGTTCTCGGCGACCGGTCATTTCTCCCTTTTCCCCCTACTGCCCAATGAGCAGGAACGATTTTTGAAGACTGCGCTGGTCCTGCTCTACGCCTTCTACATTCACAAGGCCCTGAGCGCTCTCCGCGGGTGAGTTGAGCCAGGAGTAAGATGACCCTGGCCCCGGTTTCGCAGAGCCGATGGGACTCGTGAACACGCGGAAGTAACATTCTTCAAAACAACCCGCGTAAAACATAATCCTTTTTTCTTTCAGGAGGCCTGCCTTAGCCCGGCTGAGCAAAATCTATCTCCTCGGACTCGCTCCTCTATTTCTCTACACAGAAATAATAAGCAAAGTCATGCCGTCTCGATACGAATTCCTCCCGCTCATGGGCACATCGGTTTATTGTGCCATAGGGATTCTCCATTGCTTCATCCCGTTCTCGTTTGCGCAAGATTACACGAAGTTGTCAGAGAGATTCAAGAGACAGTGATCGAGCTCCGGAATAATGTAATCAGAAGGCGTCTGCAATCGAACGTTGCCTCTGGCAATCTTGTATCTCATATCTCATATGTAACGTATAGTCTTAATCAAAATGCAATATATGATATCTTGAAAGTTCCTAGACCGGAGATGAAAATAAAATGTCAGGAGGCTGTTTTGAGCGATACGTGGCATTATGAGCTTCTAGCGACGAGCGAATGGTGGAGTCTACCCGATTGCATACCCAGGCGACGACATGAACTATATTTAAGGTAAGCAGTATATTTTATTCGTTCGAACGATCGCGTATTCGACCGTTCCAGGAAATTTACAGATTTTATGAGAGTATACAATGAATCCCACTTCCCGGCTACTTATTGCTTATTTCTGTACGACGGAACCAGTACCGCGCACGGTAATCATCGGAGCAAGTGAGAAACGCGGGTTTTGTCGGCGAGTGACAGAAGTATCTGACCGTTGAGTTGTGGCCGAGACTCAGAAGTTGTTGCCGTTCCGCATTTCGCGAATCCCAGGAACAGAGAGACAGGGTTTTCTCGTCCGGGAAAAGGATGTAGTCCTCGGAGTGATTCAGTACGGCTTGAGCGCAGTACTCTTGTTTGCCTGCGAGAAGTCCACAGGACGGAAGTTAAAATCGGAATCGTGACGGGCAGAGGAAAGAAGGCGGGGGAATTTATCGAACGAACATCCGCAGATAAAACAGCGTTCCGCCTCTGTCTCGGGTTCTCACCTGTCGCGCCGGCTCCGGTGTAGGCGATGAGGCAGCGGCTCACAGAGAGCTCCCACAATTTCACAACGGAATCTTTTCCGGACGAGAGCACATATTTGCCGTTGCGCGTGAAGTATACGGAACAAACTTCCGATCCCTCGTGCGCTTGAGTGAACGTGCAGACGCATTTGTTGGAAACACCATCCCAGATCTTGATCGACCCGTCGGCTGAGCATGACGCGTACATTTGCCCTGTCTTCGACCAGTTTACCATGTTGACAACTCCTTTGTGCTGATCGTCCGGCACCGATGAAACAAAGCACTGCGCTGTGTTCACGTCGTACAATCGGACCACGGGGTGATTCACGGCAGCCAGCATGTAATTACCTGGAAGTTTCAAGAGCCCTTGATCCCTCATGAACTGGGGATAGTTCCCTGCGGAGTCCTCAAAGTTTTCGGCTCGGAGCTCTTAATCGGGGAACTCTCAGCGGGTGCACTTACCGCCGGGATGGAATGAGACGAAGTTGACGTGTTCCGATTCTTGAATTGTTTTGTGAGCGCGTTTCGCCGAAGGTTTGGAGTAGTCGAAGATTTTAATCGTGAAGTCCCTCGAGCCCGAGACGAGGACTTGCTCTTTGGGGTGAAAAGCTAGCGTGGTCACTTCTTCTATGTGATCGTACAGCGTCCTAATGACCGGGTGAGTCTCCATTTGCTGCTGGATGGTCTCGTTCTGACCCTCCGAAGGCGCGGCCGCACTTTTCACGAGCATACGCTCGACGTCGAGCACTTTGATCGACGCATCGACGGAGCCTAGAAGAAAATAAATCAGCGGGACGTCAGTAGGCGTTAGACGCTACCGGTGTTGAATCTTTCAAATCGCAGTCAGAATCTCGATGCTCGAAATCCTTTTAATTATTCGGAATCACACCTGTGGCTATGAGCGTCCCATCCGCGTTGAAAGCCCCGGCGCGGCACTGAGCTTTGTGTGATGTGACGTAGATCGTCTCGTATTGTGCCGGCTCAGGTACCATCATCGATGACTCGGTTTCGTACTCCAAGTCAAGACCCGGTCCCAAGGAGTACAAATCTTGCGGCCCACATCCTGTACGGAGGGTTTATTTCAATTAATTTGATTATTAGAGATTTCCGACACGCTATCTCAGGGATTCCGGAGATTATTCGCGTACCTGTGAGGATCTGGTGCCCTTTCTGATCCGCTTCCGTTTGTAGTCCAAGTTGCACAACATGCTGAAGTCTGTCGGATGGCGGACAGGCTTGCTGAAGTTTCACGGCGCCGATCAGCTGCACCGCGAGCTGTTGGTGACCATCGTAGAACAACTGCGAGATTATCATCTTGTACAGCTGGTCTCGATCTTTTATGGTCGGACTTTTGTCTGTCTGAATCATCTGAGGAGTACGAATAGGAACTCAATGAAATGGCCGACTATATATCAACCAATGAAACGGAAGCTATCGGACGCATCGGATCTAGGAAATCAGAGCCAGTCGGGCTACGCCGGCACTCGACTCCCAAGCTCCACAGCCAGAGCATTGACTCGCTGAAAAATGACAGATCTAGAGAGACTTTGACGACTCCAAGAGAGTCACAGAGAAAAATGGGCTCATCTTTGATGAGTTACACGTATGGCCAGGCAGAAGATCGAATTCGCTCCCGTGGAGACTTCGAAAGCCGCGCTCCATTTTAAGCTGCTGAAAAATCGCGTCCTACCGAATTATGACGACCTCATCATCGATCGCCCGTCTGACATGCGAGACGAAAAGAGCGTTCAACCTACCGTGGTTGCAGTTCCGGGAAGTACTCTCGAGCCTGCAATGATGGAATCGACTCCTCGACGAAGGAATCGGACCGGCTCCTGAAGAAGTTACTCTTGTTTGTAAACACGGATCCCAGAGCGAGCTCACGGCGGGAAGTTTCGAAGCGGCAGTGTGACGGCTCTGGCGATGATTGACACGATGACTGATGATACTGAATTATTCCGGTTTGGTTCCGCGTCGAGAAGGGGCTGTTCACTAGCTCAGGGCTCGAATACTGGCTAAGGCACTGATCACAACGAAAGTCCTCGATTGATGTATCAGAAACCAAGATCTTCTGTATTTATTGAAGTCATGTTGATGCTTGTCTGATTCGGTGAGGGACGCTTAAGGGGAGAGGAGCACCGATATGGGTACTTGGTGTCTGGTGGGGGGGAGGGGCGACCCCCTCTCTACCTTATGGACGGGTACAAGATCCGTAGGGAGAGCTCGAGGAATCAATGGGGAAGGGTGCGCCATATTGATACAATGTTCGCCGATGGGGTTGGAATCGTTCAGCCTTGATCACTCTGCGGAGATGATCGTGGTATTCTAATTGATCATGGTGCGCTGCTCGATTGAGAACGAGACCGAGCGTAGAGGGGTACACCCAGAGCACAACACATTCCCTCCAAGCCAAGCCTATAGAATGTGCAGCTCCGAGATGAATCAAAACTGAAATCGGAATTGATAATAAACCAATCGTCTTTGGAAAGAGAGGGTTCCACTGTGATTCTGAAGTTCCGCACATTGGCGGGTTTTTTCGGGCAGGGATCCGGCACAAATCCATCAAGCGGTCTCGAAGAGTCAGATACGTCAAGTGTTGCGACTTGCGAGGAATGCAGCACCCGGAAATCCCCGTGGAAAAGCTCAAATTCACCGGATCTGATAAGAGAACTCTGATCGCCTTCTCCCGGACCGACTTCGATGCAATTCTGTCTTACGGTCCGGGGAGAACTTAAAATCGTGAAGAATATGCGGCCGAGGCGGACTGTAGAAGGGACCGCTCTGCCTTCCGGGTGCAGCTGAAACGTCGTCGTCACCACGGTTAAATTTTCCCCTGCAGCTCAGCCGCTGTCGCTGTCGGCAGTAGTGGAACTGCACGCCCTTGGTCGCTAGTTCGGAATCGTGGTCTGTGTATTACGTGGCAACAAGTCGAGTTCTTGAAGTTTTGCTGTCAACTCGGGAGCTCGAGATCGTCAAAATGGGTTTAACCATCAGTGGATTGTTCAATCGCCTATTCGGCAAAAAGCAGGTCCGCATCTTGATGGGTAAGTGTGCGATAGCCGACGGGCTGCGTTCAGAGCCGACCGATTGACAGCTTTCGATCCAGATGAGTCAATTGATATTGGGCAGCGCCCGGCTTCCTCTCCCTGAGAACTGCGGGTTTTCTGCAGAGGACGCCGAGCGGAATTCCGCGGACCGGAATCGGCTCGATAAGAGCCGATGTCTTCGTGAAAGATATCAACGACTTCATGCTAGATCGAATTGAATCGTACTCATAGGGCTTATCGGCTGTGAATTTGCTGTGGAAGCCGCTGCTCTTACTCGATTGCTCGCTCGAGAATTTCCTCTGACTTGCGTCTATCGGAATCCGTACAGTCCAGCATTTTCTTACTCGGACTCATGTTGGCCGGAAAAATGCTGAATTGGAGGTCTGTTGCGAGTGACCCAACGAGGAGGCGATTCGAACAAGAGAAATCTCACACGTTTCGATGATTTCTACCTCGGAGGAACTTCCTTCCGAACTTCCGATGTCGCCGAACTCGTCCCGGGAGGAAAGTCGCTTGCAGGATAAAGATTTGGGGACAGTGCCTGGATTCGTATCGGACACGTTCGATTCGAGCGATCGCCGCCAGATTCGTTCGCGATACCGTCAGGCAGCATATGTTCGTCGACCTATTCCACATTCGAGTTCACCTCGGCAAAGTAGCGAAGAGATCGACAGAACAAACGCCGCGAAACCCGTGCCGCAATCAGATTATCCATCGGGCCTCGCCGGATGCGGGGTCTGGATCAATGGAGCCTGGAGGGCTTGCTCGAATATTTTCAGGAATGTTCTCTCGCTGATTTTCCGTCGATCTCCCGAAGTTCCCGGGGTAGCGACGAGAGGGCTCATGTGGAGATGCAAACCTCGTGACCCGATCCGTTCTAGTTGCGGAATATGTCATGCGTAAGGTAGGCCTTCTGCGATTCTTCTCCTCGAGTGAGTGAGTATGAGAGGAAAAGTGCGCGATTCGAGCGCATGAAGGACTTATCGCAATCGCAGAATCGCTCGCGTCGTTCTACGCGTTTCAACGGCCGTAGAGATGCCTTGCGTTCCACAGACTCGACCGTTTCGCTTCCGCGCGACTCGCGTTCCGGGATGAGTTGATCCAAAGTCTTCAGTTTTTTCTCGGAAGGAACCTCCCCTGAGAGTTGACGAACTCTTCTTTGGGACGAAAAACGCCATTCGGTCATCGCTTTCGCTCAGGTGTGACCCGGATAACAAGCGTCACTTGAGTTACGTCTGATTCGCTTTCGAGCAGCGTCCTACTCGGAGACCGTCGGCGACGAAAGCCGATGGTCGCGCACACCGACAACACGCAAATAGACAGACGGACAAACGAAGAAGCGCGTCGTTGGCTCCGAACTGACAATTGACCCCAATCCGATTCTCTTGCAGTTGGTCTCGACGCCGCCGGAAAAACTACGATTCTGTACAAGCTCAAGCTCGGAGAGATCGTCACCACGATTCCCACTATCGGCTTCAACGTAGAAACCGTAGAATATAAGAATATCTGCTTCACCGTTTGGGACGTCGGTGGTCAAGACAAGATTCGTCCTCTGTGGAGGCACTACTTCCAGAATACGGAAGGTCTTATCTTCGTCGTGGATTCCAACGATAGGGAGCGTATTGGTGAAGCTCAGGACGAGCTCATGAAGATGCTTGCCGAAGACGAACTCAGAGATGCGGTCCTGCTCGTCTTCGCCAACAAACAGGACCTCCCGAATGCAATGAACGCCGCTGAACTCACCGAAAAGCTTGGTTTGAATTCTCTCCGAGGCCGAAAGGTTGGTCTCCCGAAGCTTCCTTTATTCCCATCAAGAGTCGAACTCTGAGTTCGTTTCCCCGGTCTTTGAAGTTTTCATTTCTGAGGGACCTTCTAATTTTTCCATCTCTCTTATTTTTCCAGTGGTACATTCAAGCCACCTGCGCCACTCAAGGAGAAGGCCTGTACGAGGGTCTAGACTGGCTTTCGAATGAACTGGCTAAAGGGAAATGATTCTGCACCAACGCTTACAAACTAATCCACATGATGATGATGATGATCTAAAAGGTGGAGAAGAATAATTTTAAGAAAAGGAGGGGAAACAGTAGCCGCAGAAGAGGCGAAGAGTTGAGGAGTCGTGGGAAGTCGATGAGTATGAGGATGGGATATGAGTGTATATACCAAGTTATTTATCCCGCGACGTGACCGTTCCCCCGGGAGTCATCGCAGAGCAACTTGATGTGATTTTACAATAAATTTTTGACATGAGATTCTTGTCGTCGCTGAAAGAAATTTCTCAGCTAAACAGGTTGCGATGGCATGCGATGATCACTGTCATTGCGGAAAACTTCTCAGGATCCAGAAAACCAAGGAGAAGAAGGATGATCCTCGAAAATCCCGAATTCTGATCCGACGACAGATTCGCGGAAGAAGCCTCTGATGGCCGTGACGAGCAACTACTTCTCAGGCTTAAAGATAGCGAGAATCCGGTGACTTCGGCGTCCGGGGCTCCCATGCTCTGAGAGTTGTCGCATCGATCGCCAGTATCGCTACAATGGGATAACAACAATCTCGCAACATTTCATATTTTATTACGCAAGCCCTCGTCATGCTATCATTTCAATATTGACATCACTTTCTTGCATGTGATATAGTTTATGTGCCTCCCAAGATAATTACAGAACAATTGAAAACCGGAACAATAAGAGGTCATGAAGGATCACTGGCTTATTACTGCGGAATTTTAGGCAGACCGAATTCGTCAACCATGATCCCGTCGGTGGGCTGAGGTTTTTCTTTCGCCGACGGGTCTTTACTCGGCACCTGTTGAAAAGAAGTCTCGGTTCAGTGTACACGCGAAATCTTCGAATGGACATCCATATCCGAAATAATCGACGAGAATTTTCGTTTTCGATATTGACATCATCGACGGAGTCGCAGTTCTTACCGCAGGTGTGTTGACTGCGTCCAGGTAGGAATTGTCTTCATCCAAAGCTAACTCGTCGTTGAGCTCAGCGAGTTCAGCTTCCAGTTCCTCGTCGGTCATGTCTGGCATGTTGTAAGACCGTCCAAGAGTTTCCTGAAGGGAAAAATCAGGATTAGTCTCCGACAAGCGGGAATCGACATTAGGCCCTCGTGTAGACGGAAAAGGGAACTACGGAGAACGCGCGTCGTACCTGAACTTCGTTGGCTTGCTCGAGCATGTCTTCAAGATCGTCTTGAAGATCCTCGATTTCATTCAGATTGACTTTCTTGTATTCATTCTTCATCTCTTTCACACCAAGCTTCATCGCTTCCACCGTGACCTGAGCATTAGGCGGGAGCGAGTTAGGTCATCTTTCGTGAGAGATATTCGGTAGAAACGAGATCCATGTCACATGCATGAGGTTTCCATTACCTTGGTATCTTTGAGCTGCTGAGTTGTGAAATTCGCCTGTTCCATATTGAAGCTCTGCTGCAGAAGATTATCTCTCTGGGATTCGTAGGTTTTCTTCTGCTTCAGCAATCGCAGCGCTTTCTGCTTCACCTGAAAGAGGATCGAAACTCCTTACTGCAAAATCGATAGGGTTCTCTACCCGTGAATGCTACAGGCATCGGTGATTTTCCAGCACAGCCAAGCTCGGAATTCGTCGAATGGACGAACCCGCTTGTCACCCCTAAAAATTATATTCTCAAACGCTGAGGGAATTTAGATCGGGGATACCCTACCAGGGGATGAATTACACAGTCGATCACGAGTCCTACACAAGGGTGTAACTATTTCTCCTGAAACCGCAGCACGATCAGGATGAGTACTCACTGAATTTTTGGCCGGTCCCTCTCGCATTTTGGACAGCTGCTCCTTGTATTTGATGAGTTCTTTGTCGAGTTTCTGGATCTTCTCATCCATGTTGTTCGCTCTCTGATCAACTGTGGAAATACAGTCATTCAAGTTGGCCGGAGGCTCCTTGGCCTTCGCTTTGCCGAACAGGCGATTCATTGCGGGCTTGAGGTCCTTGTGGAGGTAGAACTAATGCGAAAAATCAACTCCTCCAACGTATCCCTCTCGAGACCAATCAGCCGAAACTTGACGTGAATTGCTCTTGTTTACGAGGAGCAGCTGTGAGTCAGACAGAGCAGCAGAATACCCTGTGTGTTGGGCTCTCCTTATTGGTGCGTGTTCGGTCCTGCACCCGGAAGTTCATGAGCTCCTCCCCCTGCGGCGGAATTCCCTTGGGGGCTAATCGGAATCAATGCGAATCGACGCGACGGTGAGCGATCTCTTCTATGAAAGTTCTTCTATTCCTCGAATTTCCACCGAGTCGACCCTGAAAGCTACAGCTCCCACGGCCGCCGGGGATTGTCAACTCCATCTTTGAGCGACGAGCATCCGTCTTTCGGATGGCCGCATTCTGTGTGCGCCGATCGGGCCATTGAAACATGGTAGGTCCCGATCGAGACCCCATAGCCCCTCGCCAGAATTTTCGATCGGAAGGCTAAGGCTCCGAGGCGTCATCATTTTCAAGCCGAGGCTCCCTCCGAAATCCGTTCCCCCCCCCCAACGGAATTCCTTTGTGCGCCAGTGCCTCAGCCCTTCGCTGAAGGATACGAGAAAATAGCTTTAAGCTATCTCGGAGAAGAAAGCCATACGAGATGCGATTATTTCTAGGGTAGTCCGATTCAGCGCGTCGATATGGAGCCGCATCCAAATAGTGATGAGGGAAATCACGAATTCCGAGACTACCGGAGCAGCGCGTTTCGCTTCGGGAAGTTCTCGTTCTCTCGACTCCAGTGCGAAGAAAAATCGCCAGAAATACGTAGCAAATCTTCATCGAAGAGACAGGCCTGGCAAAAAGCACCAGGAAGCCGGAGAGACGGAGTTCGGATCGTGTGCCGGGCTTGAAGAAGGACTCGACTGACGCATCTTCTTCCCCCGGCAGGCTGTCGCTAATCGGGAATAATTAGTACGATTAGCTTACGATCTCTATACCTTGTTATGTACGATCGGAGTTTTTGAGTCGTGTGTCAGAATGGGGGAGGGGGAAATACCGAAGCTTACGGAATGGATCCTCCTCCATTAAATGCCATCTCACTTGTACTCAGGACTGGGCTGTATGAGCGCGCTCTACTCCCTAAGACTATCCAGTGTCGCCTTCGCTTCTTGACAATCGAGCTCATATCATCTCTCGAAAAGACCTCCCAGTGGGGAGACACTGTCGCGAATACGAAGCATTACGCATTGTTCCGACCAACATTCGATCCGACCTCGGCTACACGGGCGCTATTCAGAGAAAAAGTCTGATCATACTCGGGCAAATCAACCCGGGATCACGTGTTCCGTTGTCACCCCGGCCGAGATATGTTTAGGAGTTTCCCGCTCGGAGTCTGACCAGGGTGCTGATCGACACTACTTCGCTCTCTCTCGAGCGCTGCCCGCTGAATTAGCGGCGTTCGAAAAGCCGATCCGCCATATTTTTGCCGAGCACAGCGTTTCCCCACGTTTCGGCAATAATCTGTGAAACTTGAAGACTGTTCCTTACAACAGCATCGGAGATGACCGGAAAGCCGACGGCGAAGTTCGAGCTGCCTGAAATCGCCGAAAATCGGCAAGGATGGGGTCCGTGTTTCGTTCCCGAAAAATTCGCCGACATGCCCTACCAGCCCTTCTCGAAGAGCGACCGGATCGGAAAGGTAAGGAGATGGGATCTCGGTATCAAAACCCAGTCCCATGAGATGTGGGGAACCAAGTCATTCCGGGCCGGAGATGCGGAGGAGGGAAGGTGCGGCTGGAGGGGAGCCCGTCGGGTTTTCAGCTCATCGGCCCGCACTCCATATGTCGTGAGATGCCGGTCGCACACTGTCAACACGGTCCGAGATGACTTTGGAGTGAAGAACTGCTTCCAAAGCGCGATCGTGCCTCGTTGCCAGGTTGTTCTGAGGAATCCGGACCGGTTCGGCTGAGCACAGCATTCGTTAATTGAGATTTTCGCTCCATTCGCAGGTGGCTGATTGGACCGGCAACACTTACCAAGATCGACGTGCAGTCAACAAATACAACTCACAGTTCGGCTCTGGACCGCAAACACAGTATGCCTACATCCACGAAGAAGACGACTCGTCGTTCCAACTTGTGGATACGTCGAAGACCCACAAACCCATGTACCAACGAGGACGTTTCAATCGTCTCAACCAGAAGCTCAATCAGAGACAACGACAACAGAAACAACAGCAGCAACAAATGCAGGTGAGTCGCGCCGCAGCTTCCTCGCTTCGGACATCGAATCTTGACTTTTCCGGGAGTTCGGGAGTTCGCCAGCGGGAGAACCCGGGAGACAGGAACCTCTCCGGGGAACTTCTCTATTATGTATATCTCCTATACAATTTTACCCCCTGCTCATATCGTCCCATTGTCTCCAAGGTACTTTCGCGCGCGGGCAAAGGCAGAGAGCGTGAGCGTATGCAGCAAGTTCGCAAATGGCAAAAGCAGATGCGGCAGAAGCTGGAGCACCGTCAGGGCAATCAAAACATGATCAAGGACCGAGTCGCTTCTGTGACCGTCCTGCCGTCGTGGAAGGTGCTTGAGGAGATGGACTTCCCCCGTCTTAGTAAATTGTCACTGCCAAACGTGGATGAGCCCACCGACGTTTACCGCTGTGGTACCATGGAGTATTTTGACAAGAGCTACCAGAACATCAACTGCAAGAACGAGAAACCGCTGCAGAGGATCAACCGAGTCTTCCAGGCTGTGCCAACGACCGATGATCCTGTGATCCGAGCCCTCGCAACCAAGGTTAGAATCGCGAGTTTTCGAACCTCAAATGGAAATCCCTCACCCTCAAAAACCGAGAGAGGCGTTCTCTATTTAACTTCATCGCAGTGCATTATCTTGACATCATCGATCGCAATTTCCAGAAACACATCGATGGCATGGTCGACGGCGTCGACGTGAGCGACGTGAAGGTCTACGCTATCGACACCATCATTTCGACGCTGATGTGCGCAACGAGATCTGTAATCTCGTGGGATGTCGTGGTCCAGAAAGTCAATGGCATCATCTTCTTGGATAAGAGGAACACCGAATTCGATCACATCCCCGTCAACGAGACCGCCGCCGACCCACCGCACGAGGAGGGCAGCTCGATCAACTCGCCGAGGAACCTTGCCCTCGAGGCGACCTACATCAACCACAATTTTTCTCAGCAGGTCTTGAAAACAGACGAAGAGAAAGTCTCCTTCGAGAACAAGAACCCGTTCTGTCAAGACGTGGGCAACTCAAAGACAGAGCACGCATCCGTGGGTTACCGATACCGAAAGTTCGATCTGGGGGGAGGTATCGGACTCGTCGTTCGATGCGAACACGATGCCGTCATGACCGGACCCAACGGCGAAACCCAATTTATCAACATCAAAGCCCTCAACGAATGGGATCCTCGACACTCGGGAAACATCGACTGGAGGCAGAAACTCGATACCCAGAGGGGAGCCGTGCTCGCCAACGAGCTCAAGAACAACTCGTGCAAGCTGGCCAAGTGGACGGTACAGGCCGTTCTTGCGGGTTCTCAACAGCTGCGCTTCGGTTACGTCAGCCGAGTACATGTCATGGACTCGTCGAAACACTCGATCCTCGGGACCCAACAATACAAACCGAAGGAGTTTGCTGATCAGATCAATCTCAACATGGATAACGCATGGGGTGTACTCCGGTACATAATCAATACCTGCCTCCAGCTGCCTGACGGCAAATATCTTTTCCTCAAGGATCCCAACAAGCCCGTCGTCCGTCTCTACGATATTCCTGACGATTCATTCGAGAGTGACGAGGACGACGATAGCGATGAGGATGAAGATTAGACGGCCTAAATATGCGTTTAATAAATCATATGCTCCGTGAAACCCAGTCATCATTCGATTGTAGGACACGAGAGTTCGTGCTCCGACTCGATTCACGCTTGAATCGGCTCGCGACGATTCTATTCAATCCGTTCAGTAGTCGGGGAACCAGTGGACCATTCACTGGATGTCTGGAAGAATTCATTTTCTTCTTCATCCGTAAATTCTCAGAGTCGTATAGGACGGTTTCCCTCCTCACCATGGCTTTGTCGATAAGATTTTGGTGCCGCTCTCCGAGCGACGTTATTAGTCGGATAATCCTTAGAATTCGTGGTTCGGCCACCGACACCGTATGCTTCCAAAGATCTGATCGAGTCATTTTGCTCATTTCCGTCTCTGGGAGAGAGCTGAAACAATCTCTCATCATCCGCTGGGCAAACCGTCAACCGTTCCATCGAAGTATCGTGAAGCTACCGGAACGAGGGGGAAAACGGAGGCTTCTTCGGGATACTGCATCCTCAGGATGGGGCAGCATCTGGCTCGCGGTTTCTGAAAAACTCTGAGGTCTACAAACCAATGATCGGATGCTTCTCTTTCCGAGACTCCACCCAAAGATCTTCGAGTACGGGAAGCCCGCAGCCAGCACAGCGCGCGACGATGTCGCCGGCTAGGGTTGGTGCCAGTGGTGGATTATCGCGCCACAGCAGCGGCGACGAGCCTATGACGATGAAGCTTCTATGCGCTGTGTTGCTACTTTTCCGGCAGAGACGCAACATGGCGGCGCGCTACTCAGCTCCGGCTGGGGCGGTTTTCGCCGTTTTTGTCTTCTCTATCGCTCTTGTTGCGGAAATCGGGGCGGTCGGCACCCATCGGGAGACTCTCAGGAGTGTGGTGTTGGCAGACAGTCCGGAATGCGCCGCCGACTTGCGTCGCATCTGTTCACCGGGACTGCTGGAGAACAACTTCGCTGTGCTCAACTGCGTTCAGAACCACAAGGTGGGCTGCACTGGTCAAGTCACTCTGTCTTCCTAATGGCATACTAATCGAGGGATACCGTGGAAGCTTTTGCGAAGGAAAAACTCTCCGAGATAGATTCGAGCTTCTCCCAAACTCTCAATACTTCGCAGCGGACACAAGGCCGACTGACTGGTCTGTCAAAAGCGCATCGGCGATTAATGTTCGTATTGGAGCTCACTCGCGTTCATGGAATCGTTCAGGAGCGGCTCCCGAAGTGTCGAGGGGCTTCGGAGACTTTCTTATTCCGTGTCCCACGAGCCGTCGTCTCGATCGCTCTTCAAAAGCAAAACGCCGGAGCTCGGAGACTCTGATATCCGGAATTTGCGGGTCTCTGCTCTAGATTCCTCTCTACGATCTGGATGCACTGATGAGTGGAGATATGCCGCTCGAATAGAATCTTCAATAGAGCAAAGAGAGGACCTCGGGAACGGATCTAGTCCGGAGGGCTCTACCGAGAGCGGAACGCAACGAATTATCGATTCGCGCATTTTCTAATCGAGTCCCTGTGGGAGCTCTCAGGAGCTGGACTTCTATTCGCCCTGCTGTCTCTGCTGAGCCTTGCAGATATTCCTTGTTGAGGGTTCAACCCGCGCTGCCACAGAAAATTTCCACTGAGAATGGAGAAACTCCGCGTCAATTCTGACTTCCCTAGGCCCGGGATAGTTGCTTTGTTAGAGGCAAGAAGTGAAGTCGACGACTCCGAGACGCATTCGATGCGAAGAGCCTCAGATGGAATACCACGGGAGGCTTGATCCAAATCGCTGCGATCGAAATCTACATATCTCATGGCAATCTGCGGCCGAGACATCGCTGACTTCTCGCAGTTGCTGCTCACTGAGTCTCGGCGTGGCTGTCTTCATGTCGGAATGTCTGACTAGTTTCGTGGTGATCCACTACGAACAATGATCTCTTAGCGGGTGGCATCTCCTTGTGACCCCTAACCTGTGATTCTCCAATCCCAATCTCACTTGTCGGGAATGGCGTAGATAGACCGATTTTCTGCCTCATTGCCATCTGATATTCACGATATTCCGCTTGAGGAAGGTGACAGAAAGTTTCTGGTGGAGAAGATCGTTCTTCAAGCTCCGATAATTATATCCTGGGCAGAAATATCGAAGCGCCGTCAAAATTCGACAATTCCGTCCGCGGAGAAATTGTGATCGTCCACTTTCTGTTTCAGTTGTTGGAGGATTCCGGACTGTCGGAGCAGTGTCATCACCTACTGTGGCAATACAAGCGAAACATAACCCAGAGCGATCAGTTTTCACAAATTGCACAGAACACATGTCAAGCCCTTTTGACAGCGTACCCGGAATGCTCTACGCCGAGGCATACGATGCTGCTCTGCCTCTTGGAGCACGCAGAAAACGCGACGGAAGATTGCCACATGTTCCTGTATCGAATGGAGACAGTGGTTTTCAGCGACTACCGACTCATCCAAAAGTGAGTACGGAGTTTCTAGCGTGACCGACCCGCACAAGGCACCCGACGTGCTTCACTAGATTGGCATTCGTGTCGCCCGCCCAGTCGAACGTCACCTTGACCAATCTTTTTATGCAAACAGGTTCGCCGAAGCGTGTAGCTCCGACATTGAGAAACTCAAGTGTGGTCGTCTCTCGAGTGACTCGAGACAACCTCACAGCCAGGGAGCGACCATCGAGTGTCTGCAGACGCAAACCGACCATCTGCAAGATACGTGTCAACAAGAAATCCTGAGAATTTCCAAGATCCAGGGAGAGGACTTCCAGCTCGACAGACCTCTGTTCTTCGCCTGTCGGGACGATCGCGATCGATTTTGTTCCCATGTCGATTCCGGCGAAGGACGCGTCTATAAGTGTCTCATGAGGCATCGGCTCGAACGAACTATGACACCAGAGGTGAGAGCCTCTTATGAATTTCGCTAAAATAAGTTCTGCGGCGAATCACTCCTCACTCGGTTGAGATATTTCCCAGAGCTTCGGATCGACTAATTGCGATGCTCTCCGACAGTGTGCCAAGAAGCTCTTGGAACGGGAAAAGCTCACGATTCGCGACTACCGGGTGAGCAAAGGCCTGACGCGAGCCTGCCGAGACGACATCAAGCAGTACAAGTGTCGCGAAGACACTTCCCATCGGCGCGAATTCCGCCTCGCCCAGATTCTTCTCTGTCTCGAGAACTCGATCCATAACGGTACGTGCCCCCGTCAAAGAAAATATTTCGTACAGGAATTCTCCGAGCGAGAGTCATTCGAATCCCCTCCTAACCTGGGATTACGAGCTCGTTTAGCAAAGATTCGACCAACATTTCAGACTACCCCGTCGCCGCTGAATGTAAAGCCGAACTCCTCGTGCACAGACGCTTCCTGCTGGAGTCCTATCAGCTCACTCCGGATCTTGCTGCCGCTTGCGAACAGGACATCACCGCGAATTGCCAGAAAAAACTCGAAGCAGGAGGGCGTACCGTGCACTGCCTCATGAAACATCTCAAGGGCCCGAAGAAAATCGGCGATCAGTGTCGCCGTGAAGTCGAGAAGATGATAAAGGTTTCCGGTGCGTCAAGTCTACGTCATGCATCAATCACTAGTGCCTATATGGTCTCTCGAAGAACTTGTCCCTATGTTCCACTCGGATGACAGAATCTAACTCAAATTTTCTTGTCTGACTCATTAGACGTGGGCGAGGACTGGCGCGTTGACCCTGTCCTGCAGGAATCGTGTCAACCGGTTGTCGACGTTGTGTGTCAGGACGTGAAACCGGGCAAAGGCCGGGTACTATCGTGTCTGATGGACCATGTCGACTCCAGTCAAATGCGGGATGATTGCAGAGATGCATTGCTGCAAATCCAGTATTTCGTTGCGAGAGATTTCAAGTACGTCTCACCCTAAGACCTCCCCGACCGAGAGGACTGAGACGGAGTGAATCCAGACGTCTTGTCCCATCTCAAATCTCATTTTGTTCCTTCTGAATTCTCTCAGGTTGGATCCTCAGCTCTACGAAGCCTGTCACTCTGAAGCAGTGAGGAACTGCCACGCTAAAGAGGAATGGCACCAATCCCCTGGTAAGATGGACCCGGAGAGAGGCCCCATCGTCCTGCCCTGTCTGTATCGGTACGCCTACCATCCGGACAAGAGTTTCGCGGTAAGGGTGCCTCGCTCTTAAAATCCTATGTCCACACGATCGCTTGCTCAATGATCAGAGAAAGGAGATTGTCACCAGTTAGGAGACTCGAGCGCTATAATTCGATTTCAGCTCTCCAAACCGTGTCTCTACGAAGTGCGCAGAGTGATGCGTCAACGCGCGGTCAGTGTCGACCTTCAGCCCGAGATCGAAGAGCCCTGCATGAACGATCTGGCCGCATACTGTAGCCTGAACGTTGAAAAGGGCCAAGAGATCGACTGTTTACAACAGAACTTGGAGAAACTCGAGCAGGATTGTCGGCTAGCAGTCGGAAATCTCACGGAGGAGCAAGCGGAGCACATCGAGCTAAACTACCCGCTATTCAGAATTTGCAGAGGGGTTCGTAAGACACAGTCAGTCCAAGACAATGTAGCATCGAAATCATATACATCGGCTATGTTGTCGCATTCCTGTATTTTTTTTGATAATCAACTTCAAGGGTTTTTCATCCAGGTTCTCAAGAAAGTTTGTTCCGACGCGCTCTCGAAGGAAATCGATCAAGGCGACCTGGTGCAGTGCCTGATCACTAATAAGAACGAGCTCGAAGTCAAAAACGATGTGAAGTGTAGGACCAGCATCGAACACTTCCAGCTAGTGTCGTTGAAAGATTATCGTTTCACCGCCAAGTTCAAAGAAGCCTGCAAACCTGACGTGATCAAATACTGCAGCAAAGTGAGTTTGCAGACAGGTTCCGTGGAGAGCCGCCGATTCTCCTGTCTTTGTCACCGGATCGCTAATTCGCGAAAACAGACTTCGATACCGGTTATTTATGTACATATATACAGAGCCTCCGCTTCCTCGTCAGGTTCGGACAAAGGCTGAGGTCGTCGCGTGTCTCAGCACGCTCGTCGCGGACGATGTCCTCAAGGCAAGAGAAAGACCCAGGATCACCCCCATGTGTCGTCGTCAGCTTAAGGTTGAGCTTTTCACCAGGGACGAAAACATACATCTCGACCCAAAGTTGGACAAAGCGTGCGAGGACGACCAGAAGCAATTCTGCTCTCACGTTGAAGCGGGTGAAGGCCGGATGCTGGAATGCCTCAGAACTCACCGAGAGAGCTTGACTCCCGGTTGTCATCACGTGGTTTTCCATCGCGAGGAGCAGATGCAAAACGATAACTCGATCGATTATAAACTTTTCCAAACCTGCAAAGGCGCCATCAAACGATTCTGCGCGGAATCCGAGGCATCACAGGTGCTGGATTGTCTGGCCGAGTACCGTCGTGAACCCGGAATCTCAGACAATTGCAAGAATCTCATTCACAGTCGACTCCTTGAGCGGAACGACGATTACCGGCTCAATCCCAAGCTCAAGAAACACTGCAAGCGTGATGTGGAGAAATTCTGTTTGAACGTCATAGACAGACATAGGGACAAGGACACCGAGCTCGAGGGGAGTGTCATCCGTTGCCTGCGAGAAAACTATCTCAGAAAACGTCTGAGCGACGAATGTGAACCCGTCATCTTGACCATCATGCGACAAGGAGCTCAACTGGACCCTGCGGTCGCTAAAGCCTGCAAAACCGCGGTAAGGACGACGGATTCGTGGACGAGATCAGTCGATTCATGTCACGCTCTGCCCCGAGGTGCTGCATATCCCGCGTGACTCCGAGGGGCTCGGACATTAATTGATGATTCAATCCTTGCAGCTCGAAAGGCCGTGCGACCTCGACGACCCGGAGGAGTGCTTGAAACAGCAGTTCCAGGAAAAACTGATCCACAGCGAAAACTGTCGGATCGAGGTAGCCCGCCTGATCCACGAGGGAAAAGCGGATGTGCAAAGCGATCCCGTGCTCCATAAAGCTTGCAGCAACGATATCCAGCGATGGTGTTTCCTCGCGGTTCCTGGACACGGGCACGGTGAGTCCCACGCAGAGATTCTTCTTCTGCTCTGCGCTACAGCGTGCGCTTTCGGCTTGCGGTCCGAGTCCTTCGCCCGAAGCTTCGGACGAAGCTCATCGCAGCTCGATGTGTGCTTACTCCTCCGCCCTCGAAGAGATTCCTGGAGTCTAACAGTTTTTTCTTTCCCCAGTGCTATCGTGTCTGATGTCGAATCTAGAGAAAAATCAGTTAGATGCAGAATGCAAAGCGCTCCTGTCGAAGCGGATCGAGATGTTCGAATACGCCGCCCAAGTGGCGCCCGTTGAGACACTCCATGATGTCGTGAAACAATTGCAGCAGAGTCCTGCGAGAAACTGGTTTTTGGTGGTTTTCAGTGCAGTCTTCCTGACCCTGTTTTTCATAGGAGTCACTTGCGGGAGATTGAGCAAGAGAATGCCCCAACAGTTGAAAAATAAGTGAGAACCTGTATATCAAAGTCACCCCTCTAGATAGCTACCAATTGCGACTGTACATACTTGTGAGAATGATGAATGAATGAGAAAATAAATAATGTATCCGAGAACCATTGTAAAGGGGTCTCTCTCAATCGGAAGCTCGAAGTGCGGAGCCCCGCTCGGAGGATCGGTCGGAGTCGAACCCCTCAGGGCGCGGCTTCGAAAAAAAAGATTCGAGACTCAGAGCGGTGCAGTTCGTCCTCAACATCAAACCATCTTGCCGGGGTGGCTGCTGGAAATCGGTTGCTGAAAATATGCGCCTTTCGCGGGGGCGCTCCCATCACCGTGGCCGGGAATAAAAGTGGGCTTCCAGGCACCTCGTGATTCACCAAGAGATTAGCGATATCCGGCCTTCGCTCGTTAAGAGAAGGCTCCGACTGAAGGAACTCCTGTTTTCTCAGTCCTCTACCGCGTTGAATCGAAATGAAGAAGACTTCGTAGAGCTCCGAGCGAGATCCATCTCAAGAAGTAGAGCCATCCGATACTTTACCCGAGGGGTTCGAGCCGGCAACCACCTGATGTACAGGAGGAGTCACTCATTCGAGAGCAAGCGGTCAATCTTTTGGACAATTTCGATTCTCACTGAATGGAGAAACTACGAGCCCAGGTGATCGAGGACTCTCCGACGGGACAGTCGGGTCCATATCTAGAGCGAGTCGATGGGGTCTAGCACTTTGTTCTCAGTTTGCAAACGAAGCCGAAAAAGCGTCGATGGGGCTGGGGAATAGAGCTTGGGGTCCTGACGGAACCAAGCGGAATCCCCGAATCCGAAGTCTGGAGGTTCTCAAAACTCCCGAAGGGGGTGAAGCAGAGTCCTCTCATGAATTATATGTAATACGGTCGAGGTCCGAGGAGCTCGTTTTGGTTTTATCCTCGACGCCCATCGCGGGTAGCAAGAATGATTGGCTCGACAGGTTTTTCCATTCGGATGTTTGTACATTTTCGATTGGCAGGAGTTCCGAAAAACTCATTCCAAGAGGCTTTCGAAAGAAAATGATTGATCAGACTGACACAGCATTTAATATTCATACAGACAAAATGAAGCTGAGAGAACCAACTCCAAGGATATGGATCGCCGACTCTGAGAGCTGCATGAAGATGTTGAACCTCGCCCGATGAAGTCATCCCTTTATGAAAGATTCGGTCGTCATCCGTCATTACACATTCTGTGATATCCGATGACTTCCGGCGCCTTGGGCAGGACGCATAAACTCAAATTAGAGGACACGGATATGCATTTGAATATCAGCATGTAAGGAGCTGCGAACATTATATTTCCATCGAAACATGATGAGTTCCGGGGGCCGTGATTTGGCCCAAGTTATCCATGACGAAGGCGAGTGATCGAAGGGTGATCCAACCCGTGAGACAGCTGGGAGACTCACGGTGTAGGGAGAGCCAAACAAAATAACAGAAGCCAGTGATGTCGATGACATCGTTCAGAGCCGAATGATGTGAGTGTGTTTGCTGTCCATCGCGAGATCGTCTTCGAAGATCTGCCCTTCGGGAATATGACGACCCATAAGGTCGATTCCCTGACTATGGCCCGAGAGCCAATTCTGTACGTGCACACGGAGCCGCCGGGACTCCCGCTGGTATTTCACGATGAGGATGAGAACCGTGATGAGCATCACTGGTAAAAAAGTCCAAGGCGAGTTCAGGGGCGTCAGCGCCGACGGGAATTCCTTCTCGTCCGCGAAACCCGGGGAAGCCATTCCGATCCTCCGAAGGGAAAATTGACGTGAAGACGTCTTCACTTTCGAGATGAGCTCGTTGACGCTCGAACGGTTTCCGCGATCCTCAAATCCTCACCAGAACCGGCTCAAACGAAAGGAATGATTCGATACCGGTTTTCGGTCACTTATCGGGGGATTGCTGTTCGCACTTCAGAGGCTGTGGTCCCGGTATGAGGAGAAACTTCGGAGAATCGACACGGAATGACGACAGATGCTCAGACCCAGTTCTTTTTGCATTGCTCATGAGAGCGTGAAGAACCAGCTTGCCCTCGCTCGAGGAATCGGTCTCACTCGGAGAGACGAGCTCTCTGAGAAAACGGCATATTTCGTAAGCCGGTTTTGGGACGTAGGGGGTCGATCCAATAGGAGCCCGGCTTCCGCTTGATGACTCGAATCTCCGTAATGACACGTTGATGCAGAGTACGCGTTCGAGCACGCCAGCCTTCAGCTCAGCCCCCCCTCCCCGGATGAGTGTCGTTTGAAGCTCCGAGCGCTAATCTGGTTGAACCCTATACGTTGACCGTCACACTGAGCCTTTCGGTTCAATCGACTGCGGCAGACGGGATCCCGAACTTGAGCCCTCTCCTGAATCGAGAAGGCAGCCTGCTCGAAAAAATGGCAGCATTCGACCTGTGTTCGAGCGACAACTAGCATAACCATTGGCCAGCCAAACAAGACTATATTTATAGTACGGAATAAACAAGCGGAGAGCAGGGATTCTGGGCTGAACGTCATACGCTGACTGCGAACTTCCGCGAATACGCGATAAACTTCCACAGACGAAGTTCGTCGTTCGAAGTCGAGGCTTCCGGCCCCTTACCGAAGCCTTGACCCTAAGGGCCTAAGGAGAGACTGAAGATCATTCTTCGGCGCTGTGATGCGACTAGTCAGCTTCTGAAATCTAGGAATTGGAAATGGCTTCCGAGCTCAGCTTCGGTTCAGATACGGGAAGCTCCGTTCCGGACGATAGCCGTCGTATGGGAAATCCTCGGTCCGACGTTCGTAAGAACTTCATGCTCCCAAAGAAACGGTACCATCGGCCCAAGGTCATGGCCGTCACTGTCTCGACCCTTTCCCTCGCGACGATCAATGAAGTGCATTCTTTCGAATTTAACGAGTTTTTATTTCTTTCCTTCATTATTAAAGATTCAAAACTACTCACAGGATGCTCCAACGTAAGCAATATGATTCCTACATATTATATACATATATTAATGTAAGACGTTGAGCTCTGGCTCCGGGTCCGGGCGAGACTTCCGCCATCTTCTAAAGTCGTACTATGATGTGCTTCGCGTTCAGTTCGGGTTCGCGTTCGGACGGCGGCTGCTCGGTTTCGAACGCGATGCGCACGTCCTCTTCACTGTCTTTCGAGAACAACTTCTCCATGTACGCGAATATCTGCCAGAACTTCTTACGGCCCAACCAGATGAGCAGGAACACTGCCATGAAGGCCATAGGGAAAAGATTCCACGCTGAGTTGATCGGTGTCAGAACCGATGGGAAACTTCTTTCATCCGCGAACAATGGGTCTGTTTCGTCGTTCGACGCCGGCTGGGTGGGGTAAGTCTCTGATGACGTTCCGGTTGGATACAATTCATCCTCGTCGACATGATGGGCGTCCATTCAGAACACTGTCGCGATGGCTCAGCGCTAATGTTGAGACGGTCTTCACACGTGGAGTCTCAACCCCAGAAGCAGGTTCCTTGATCCCGGCTTCTCGGTCCGGGATGAGATTACGCTCCCCGGAGGAAGGAATTTGGTCGGAGGTCACAGGAGTGCGGGAAACACCGCGAAATAAACCAAAGTCACGTCGGAGGCTTGCTCCGAAATGAAGAACGACCGTATGACTAAGCATGCTTTTGAGCGATCCCAAAAGCTTAAAAAACCGCTCTCCCTTCACTGCGGGCTGGGCTGACGGGAGAGGGGCTCTCTCTACTCAATGATTCGTTCATAAACAAAACCGAGAGTTGAAGCCTGGGGTCCGACCGGCTACGCGGTGCATTATTGCGACGGCGTCGATCTAGGATCAGAGGCGTTTGAGCAGCGGCCGCGGGTCAGATCTAGGCCGCTGAAGGTTTCGATCAGAGCAATCTTTATTTGGAAGAGATCTTGAATACTCCGAGAGAAGGGACTACGAGAGAAGAATTGCCGTGGACGAAATTCGAATGTCCTAGTTATACCGTCGCGCGACATGAGCCTCCGGGTACTCCTTAGGAACTAGTGAGACCGCAGAGAAGTCTGACAGAGCCGAATTCCCTCCTGAATCCGAGCTTGGATTCTTCGAGAGAATGTAGGTCAATTACCTGGATAAATCTGTTAGAGACTTCCGGTATTGGTGGGGAGAAAGAGCCGAAAAACGGCTCACAAACGGAGCGCTCGCGTTCTTATCCATAGGAGGTATATATATAAGTATGGGGGCGGGAACCCCCCATACTTTGGGGCGCGGCCTTCGGCCTCCGACGACGAACCCCAACTCAATCACGGCGCACGAGTTTCGGCATCTTGCGGGGGAAAACGATTAGCTGTAATAGATGTTTAACGGCGTCCCTCCAATCAACATACAATCGGAGCAACGAGGAGAGTTCGTCGTCGTTCCTCGAGAGCTAGAGAACTTTTTCGGAGACTTGGAGAGGATTGGCGTCTTGAAGTGACCCCGCTATGTATGTACGATGTATGGGCTTTTCGACATTTGCCACGCAATGGTGGCTTAGTTCCTCATAAAATCCGAGCTCGCACGTCTTCAGATGCTCATACATCGATTCAGCTAAAAACCGAGGTGTTGCTAAGGTGAAAACTCTTTCGTTGCGGACAAACTTTGTCGCCAAAATTGCTGTATTCAAAGTAGGGATGGGGATATACTTATATAGGTTCAGTAGAGCCTGTCCGAGAGTCTTCGGATACACCGCTGTAGCCTTTCGAGAGATGCGCGAGGGGGCGAGGAACCTCTCGAATCGTCCTTCGGGCTATGGCTTCGGAATTTCCCATTCGAAAGGTTAGGTCCGTTGTAAGCGATTCGATAAGCATGGGAGGGAATAGGCCCTGGGCCTGGAAATCAGTCTGTCAAATCCGGAACGCCAACGGAAATGTTGGGTCTGTTTCCCCGGCTATACCCTCTGAACAGGACTCTCTTCGACCCGGCTGCCGACTTCGGAATTCACGGAGAACGAATCGAGGGAGTGAAATCTTTCTCATGGGAGCATATCCACTCTTCTTTCATATCGGGCTGTCTCTCGGATGACTGAGCATGCATCTGAACTTTTGGTATTTACATGAGAAACGGTCATCAATGGTCTATATGATGGTCCGTGCAGACCAGTG